TTTTTAAATTAGTAAATGTCCGATATTGTGTATGTGTACATTTGATAGGATGGGAGAACACTGATATTGTTCTGTGAAGTCTCTTTTGTTTCTTCATTTTCTCAGTCGTACGTATAGGTGTTGATACGTGTGAAATTCTCTCTGTATTTTGTTATATCGCCTCTCGAACTCTGTCGGGTTAGACGAGCATTCAATGAGTTCAATTGACTCTGACATATGAGGAAAGTCAGGAGCTGTCTCGTGTGTTCCGTACTACTACAGTTACATCCTTTTTGTTGCGTTAGTCATTTGGCTGCTGCGCACCTCTTACTTGACAAATCAAGTGAATGTAGAGCCTATCGACCTCTGTCACCATAGTAATCCACTCTGCCCACCCCTGACTTCCTCTTCTCGTTGTACTGTCCATTTTCCCTCACTGTGTCCGGCTCTGTACAGATCGAGCAGTCGCAACATGCAGGTGCCGCCCAACAGGCCCTCGATATTATGCGGTCCCCTAAAGCCATGAAGGCAACCCACATCCCCAGGATGGGTCTGGATCAGGAGATCACACGCGTTATGTGTGAGCTAGATGAACTTATATTCAACGAGGAAACCAAGGCGACCCAGCCCGCCGAAGTGACCGAAATCAGAGGCAAAAGAAAAGCCTTGACTCAACGGTAGGCAATCTTGTATTTATTGTTTGGAAGTACCGGATGTATTCAAGCGTTGGCTGAGAGTGAGTGAAGATACTGTTGCACCTGTCTGTCGTCATCGTTGGATCAGCTCTATATATAACAGGTCTAGCTTCTGTATCTCTGCCCTTACATCTGACTATCTCGTGCCATATTAACAATCACTGGTTATCAAAATTTTTAGGGGAATATAACGTGCCAAATTAATGCTTTTTGTGCTTTTATCACCCGTTGCGATGTTTTCCTGCGTTCGTACCAGTTTTGACTTAGAAATACACCAAGCCTCCTTCGCACATACGTTGCATTAATCTCTGCATTCCTACCGCATTATATATCAGTAACCTACTTCACGTGTATTGTACTATATACCACCAAAAGCCAGCTGCGTAGGTATTGAGTGTGTACGCTTAAACGATGGATAAATGTTCTGAATACCGCACGGATTTGCCTTTCAATTCTCAGCCTCATTTTTAATCCCCTTCAGATTGCACGGGATTGCAAGTAATCTGGATAAAGTGGTCGAAAGCTTCAAACCGGTTAAAGAAAAAATGGACCAGTTGCAACTGAGCGTCACGAATTGTAGGTCAAAATATCTGTGTGATGTATCGTGCGTGGTGGTTATACTGAATAAGCAGATTGGTGCGATCCGGAACAAGTATCTTGTGTATTTCCCACAAGGGGCATTAGCGCTCTCATGCCGATGGCTGATTACACAGATGTTCCGTGTAGAGCGGGAAACGGAGTACAAGCTATTAGCACAATAGGGCATTTGCGCCCATAGTCCCACACTTGGAAGTGATGCGTGTAAATTACAACCTCCAACACCCGGAAATGCCAGTATACATACATACATACATACATACATACATACATAAATACATAAATACATACATGCATACATGCATACATGCATACATGTATACATACATACATACATATATACATACATACATACATACATACTTGCATTTATTTGCTGATATCTCCGTCACAGACCAGATCCCAATTCATCCTATCCATCCCTGCCACTCACTATACCCTCTTTCACTTTGTAACAGCACCGGTAGCTGGTCGTAGTCCCGCACCACCCGGCATTCACTCAGCCCCTATGACACCCATGCACGTGTCTCCCACCCCTTCTCAGAACACTGGGCAGATTCCAGACAAGAAAACCGGGCCCGGACCCGGGCCCCAGCCTTCGCCTCTAACTGGCGCAAATAATGCCCGTACAGCCTCACCCAACCCTCAGGCGACCACAGGCTGGAATGCTTTCTCTCCAGGCAACTGGAATGACTCGGCGGGTGTGCCTGGGAATGTGCAGGCCACATCAGGAGCAACCATGCCAACCCCTGCGCAGAACCATGCAGCTGCACCCGGAAGCACAAACGCAAACGCACACGCAAACGCAAACGCAAACTCGTACACAGACACACAACAACAACAACAACCGACAGGTGGCGCTGGCTGGAACGCTTTCCCAGCCCCACCACCGGCCCAGTCAACACCTCCGACACAACCAGCCCAGCCACAGCACACACAGGCACCTGTATCTACACCTACACCACCAACTACACAGACAGGGGCGGTATCAGGCGGATGGGCAGCCTTCGGTGATGCGCCCCCTAACGACCAATCGAACGCCTTGGAAGCGCAACAGCAGCCAATGAAAACGCCGGAAACGAATCCGGCCGTGTGGCCGCCGAGTGTGGAGTCATTTGCGGCGGATATGCAGGCAGCGAAAGGGCTGGCACAACAGAATCAGCAGTACCAACAACCACAGCAACAACAGTACCAGCAACCACAGCAACAACAGTACCAACAGCAACAGCCACAGCAACCACAGCAACAACAGTACCAACAGCCACAGCAACAGCAATATCAACAGCCACAGCAACAGCAATACCAGAAGCCACAGCCACAGCAACAGCAATACCAACAGCCACAGCAACCACCGCCAGGAATGGGCGTACGCACCACCGCCCCGCAGGCCCAGGCACATGTGTACAATGCACAACTCCCCACAGCCGTACAATCACCCAGCACACCTACCAATGGCAACCCAGGGCTGTCGCCTGGCGCCGCTAGCGCGAAAGCCCCAATCACCGCCACCAAAGGGAGCGCAGGCCCAGCCATGTCCAACTACGACGCGTTGGCCGATCTACATGCCGCGGGAGGCGCATCCACATTCTCACCCACACCCGCGCACGCACCACCGCCACAGTACTGTTTAGGGGCGGCTCAGGCGGTCCTGCACCCGGCAATGGGCAGCGCCCCTGTAACGCCTAATTATAGTGCGTTTGGAGAGATCTCTGCGGCCACAAGTACACACCCACCCCAGAAACATAGGGCCAACTCGCCTGCTCAGCATCCACACATGCAGGGTCAGGCCCAGGGTCAGGGTCAGGGTCAGGCTCAGGCACAACCCCAACGGCAACAGCAACGACCGCATTCACCACAGCAACCAAGGCAGCAGCAGCAACGTATGCCGCCAGCACAAGTATCCCCTGGCACTGCACAACCGCCACAAGCCGGCAAGCAGGGTGAGATGACAGCCCCCCCCCCCTCAGTACCCCTATGAAACCATCGCAGTCATGACCCAATCCCAGACAGCCGTGTTCCACAAGGAGATGCAGGACTGGATGGCGGCGAACTCGGCCTATGCGCCATCGTACCACCAGCAGATGACGGTGATCTTCCAGAAGGCGCAGGCGTACTCGGCACAGCTTGTGCAGTATGGAGCCATGTTGGCCAGTAACCCACAGGGGGCACAGGCGTGGTTGGTGCAGTACGAGACCAGTGACCCGAAGGCGGCGGATATTTTTAGAAAGTGCTATGTTGCTAAGGCCAAAGCGATGCAGATCGATGCTCAAAAGCAGCAGCAACAGGCACGCAAATAAGGAAGGATTGGCGGTAGTGACAATAGATACATGTAGTTTAATAAAAAGTATGCTGTGTTACTTTCATCGGACAACTCCAGCTGTATAAGTTCACGGCTCACATATAGGCATACCAAGTTTGCTCACTCGCAGCACACTGAGAAGAAACGGAGAAGAATATCACTCACAGACTATTTGTCCTGTCAGCTATGGCCGGTCCCAACCTACTGGACAGCGGTACTCTGTTAGATGGGGCACAGACGTGGAATGCCTCACGCTTAATCGGCGTGATCATATGATTTTGTGCTCAGTTCGCGGTGTGTTGAAGGAGCAGGGCTTGTCTGCAGGTGCGTTATCTTCGTATAACGAGTCTAAGGTAAGGAACTCATGACAGTACAAAGCATTTTTACTAGTAGAAAAGGGCCGCCTAACGCGAAGGTAATGTATACTAAATTTAGATCAGCAGTTGTGCGACTATCGTAGTAGATAATGTGTGGCCTCGCAAGTCCAAAAAATTACACTTGGGGCCTGGACGGCTAGGACCGGCCAAAATTCTGAGACGCTCAAATGCAATTGACTTAACACACGGTGACCTCTCACCCATCGAGAGCGCCTTGGAAAAGAAAGAGAGTACCAAGTGGTGTAGCAATCGTACTAGAATCCTTTGAGGCTGAGTAGCTAAAGCTAAAACTTCACAGTTGAGACCACGCACTTACAGTAACAGATTGACGAGAGGATGGCGTAGCCACTGCCCACTACAGAAAGGATCGCGTGGAAGTCGGAAAGGGAAGCGCACTTATAGTACATTGTATATGCTTTGAGTACCTCTGCACGGGTTTCTCATCGCCACTTTCTTATTAGCCGGATGGAGGCTGGATAAATAGAAGCTATCAGCGTAAGTAGCATACATCGGTGAGTGAATCATCTACAATTCCAGAACGATCGATACCGTCGGCGGGTATGTTGCTCAGCAATGATATGGGTTTTGCAGCATCAACAGTGTACTAAGTTTGATATTTAATTTGCTCATGTGAGGTGGCCAATGAAACCTCTCCGCTTTCAACGTGTGCGCCATAAATAGTACCAGCCACAATCTCCGTGTACTTCGCCTGTAGCAAAGCATAGCAGACACCCCACCCCGTCAATCCCAGTAACCCACACGCCTGTAGCCCTCAGGTGGTATGAGATGAGCACGTTGTAACTGATGATCGGGTGCAAGCGGTCTAGGCCAATGCAGATGAAGGTCGTGGCATAGAAAAGCTACGCTCTGATATAGTAAACGTAATGGCACTAAAAAGCTATCCAAGTAAATCTGTTGCTTGCGCCTGCAGTTTCGCCCCCATAAGCGCACAATTTATCAGCTGAGAGAAACCTGCTTTCCCATGTCTGTACATCGTCAGCGTGTCACAAGTCTGATCTAAGCCAAGTCAGTTCTCTCGCTTAGAAAAGTACTCAGGTCAGCAGTATTTCGTATCGTTGATATGATAGGGTGCGGATGCAATCTACAGTACATGCGCGTTCCAATTGGCAGCCGTACATGACCTGCCTCGTATGCAGTTAAAGAGTGTTGGTCACATACGACTGGCCTTGACTGAGAGAGCTGTATGATCCTCCATCTGCAGATACAGTGTTGCGTGATTGAGTATACAAGGAGGAATAGACAACAAAGTACAAAGTCGAGTACCGAATTCTTTTTTGCTATGGCGCACTTGTTTCACCTACAAGCAAAACCCTAAACCCTAAGTGTCCCTGCACGAGACCAGACAAGGTTGATCTTCAAACAGAGAAGAATGTATGTGTACATAGTGGTCGAACGTCAAAAAGTAGGTAGGAAAAAAAACACTACTATATCGACCGGTTTGTGTGACTCAAAAATCGAGGTGTCGGAGGATATATGCTTGTAACTTCCACCACTATCGATTCGAAGTTGGAGTCGACAACGAAATATACAAGCATTTAAAAGCATATATATATATATATATATTTACCTATATACCTATATATTGTACATGTATAGATATATGTGTATTATACTTACCTAATAGGGGGGAATTTCCTATCGAGGGACTCCTGATTCCCAGTCGACCTAAGTAGCCACTGCGAATAGACTCTGTATCCTTCCTGTCACGTGTAACAAATCATTGGCAAAAGATGAGAAATGATCAAGCAGCCTGGAATGATATATACTCGGATGGTTGGCCCGGAGGATATGTATGATATATACTCGGATGGTTGGCCCGGAGGATATGATCGGTACGCTTCTAATACCTAGCTACATCCGGGGATGCGCGACTAATCTGCGGTGCCTGAGTGAATAGAACCCCGTACTGGAATCTGCTTCGCGATAAGGCATCCATCTATACATGCACATATAACATATCTACCACCCAAACGGCAATCCTCCCAGAACAGCCCAAAAATGCCGAACCTACTTGAGATCGCGCAGCTGCTCTTCCACTGAGTATGAATAGTCCTCCCAGATGAACTGTGTGACGTCCATGAAGTCGCCCCGTTGGTGCAGCAGGTGGTTGATACCTCTCTTCTTGATCTTGTCGGTGGTGATCGGTAGCTTGGTGACACCCAACATGCGGTTAAACAGCGACGTGAACAGATGCGAAAACCGGTACATAGCCAAGCCAGACACAATCACAAAGAGCCCGATGTACCCGTTCACTCCCAACGGTTTGTAGCCCTGCAGTAGCATGAAGGTGCATAGGCCGTTATGAGTACCATTTGCCACATGTCTAGAGGCAATGAGCCCCCAGCGGGATATATTGATACGGACAAGCGTGTATATTCAGATTAGTGGCGTAGACAGTATCATAAACTGTGTTCTATGACGACTAGAGCGGGTATTAGACACACCAAAATGTACTGATTACATTCAATATAGTGGACAACAAAGTCGGAATACTATTATGCTGCGCCAAATTAGACGGTTTTCCTGAGGACGAGGGTATACGACTATTGAATATACATGTACCGCACTATGATATGTATATGAAACAGCGTGAAAGCAAAACTCGTATAGTATGATATATATATGAAACAGTGTTAAAGCAAAACTCGTATAGTATGATATATATATATGAAACAGGGTGCAAAACTCGTATGGCGTAGTATGTGCTATCGGAAATAAACTTACATAACAAACACAAACAAGCTCGCAGAAACAAACTCACACACCGGCATAAATGGCATGGCGAACGCCGCAGAGCCCATTGGCACCATCAGCGCCATCGCCAACCATAGAAGATTGGCGTTCCCGTACTTGAGAATCAGAATCATGAGGATGTTGTAGCCCAGATTGAGGACGCAATATATATTGACATAGAGGGGGGCCATGCCGCAGTCATCTACAGTCACACCCTGGTATCAGAGATATAAGTTGTCATGAGTCATATGCTACTTGGATGGTAGACAAGCCTCATAAGTAATGCGAGCCTAAATGTACCGAACATCGTGTCTAACTTCTATCTAGCCAGACAGATGCCTCTCGTGCAATTTGTATACAGACAGACTTCTGTTATGCACGTGTGCACAACGAGTGTTGTACTGACTGACCTCAGATGCTTCGTATATCGAGTTGATACCCAAATAGCACTTTAATCCCCCAGCAAGCATATCAGGGATCTTAGTGATCGAACCGCCTATTCAAAATAATAAAATGTTAAATGAGAAGCGAAGTCAAAGAAAGATGTGCTCGGTAAAGATCAAGCACATACAAAGCAATCGATCAAACATGTACTTAAAAATGGACAACGTAGAGTGATACGGCATATGACAGTTTTGAGCCAATGTTGCATAAAAAAAATTTGTAATTTTGAATGTTCGGCGTCTGGCGAAGTATATGTACACGTATAGGTAGGCACAGGCACTACAGGCAGCAGCGTCTGCGACATACGAATTCTACATGCTAGATAAAAACAAACATCTCTGAGCTAGAAAAGGCAATCCACCGTCATAAGTACACCTACTACAGGCGGAAAAATGACATGCACAACAACCCAACATATCAGACAGGCGCTGTGTTGGACCCACCTGGTACAGTGTATGCTGCTGGGATGGCCAATGGTAGTCCTACTAGCAGCTGCCACACAGCCACCCATCCGTTCAGATATATGGGGTCTATCTCTTGGTCACCAAGTGCTTCTTCCTGGTTATGAGTGGAGATCGAATTGCAGGGCATGGCAAACGGTCAGAAATGAGACAATCAACTTAAACGGGGGAGGGGAAGGAGAAGAGAAAGGGGTGAAATAGTGGTAAGCAATGTGTTGGTAGTGCTATCTGTCGACTAACCATAGAACCAGGTACATTAAAAACACTGTCGGATCTCCGGCACGCTGTATTGTCAGGTGATGCAGACGGGCGAAGTAATCAATGCAGCAAACGTGATACATCCGCAGTTCGTACGCGACCTTGACAACGCGTGTGGTTTCATACATATGACAATAACATGGAGTCGAGCAAAGATGCGTGATGCAGGGTCGCATCATAGTACCATATGGGTTTCACCTTGAAGCTTGGAATAACCTCCCAATCAATGGCCCACAATTTTCAACCAGTCTGCACTGGAGAGGGAAAACTCGGTGCAAGATGCACACCCATGCAACTGATGAACTGAGCCCCACCTTTCACACAAACCAATACCGTGCGTGCGCATGAGTAACCCTTCCCCCATTGACACAACCTGATGCAGGCCTTAGGCGAAATTCGGCTGCAGGGCTAAATTAGTCCAACATAAGGGAGACTTTCTAATGGCTTGAAATTCATTCCTTAACTACAAGCATTCACGTACATTTATGCACAAATGAGCACCATATACAAGCCAGCATACAAAGGTAACGCGTACCTTGTAGACGCTACTGAGCGTCATTGGGATACAGGCGAAGACCATGACGAACACCCAGCCAAGCTGTGCGAGGGACATCGAGGCACCTGAACCAAAAAACTGGGGCAGGAGCACCACCAACAGACCAATAATCACCGTGCACGCTCCCAGGATATGGAAGCGGTTGTATTTCGCGCCCATGAGAAAGTACGACAGAATCATCGACACTGGGATGGCCACTTGTTGCAACCTGCAACGGTAATTGTGGGGAAGACGAGTCATCCCAAGTCAAACCAGGCCGCACGTGTACTATGACACATCTGAAACAATCCGTTCAAGCCATTTAAGATATCATCTTAACCTCGACCTCAGGTCAAGTTTATTTGAATTGATATAGATACCAAAAAATATTAAACAGTGACAAAAGAATACATCTGGCTACACACAGGGACGCGTGGGCCATACATGACAGAGGTCGACCACACAATCACATGCGACTACGGACTACGCAAACTTCGCCCAGAACCGAATTTGGGTGCAGGTGCGACAGGACAGTTCGGTACTCATACTATGAGTCCATTAAGATCACCGCTCAGAGATCGCGTACACAACTACACATAGGCCAATGCGCTTACTTGGTTACGCACCCCAACATACATGATCACCAGAGATCCGTCCAGAGAGTTCGTGGCGAAGGTCATCATGGTACTACTGATGCTGTCGAGCGCGCCCATGACAAAGAAGGTCTTCTGAGGGATTTGCCTCTCCTCTTTGGTTATTTGGTTGCCGAACATGATCATGGGTATGATGTAGGCGAACGACACCGGAACGTATATGAACACAGTGTACAAGGAGATGAAGAAGGGATAGTTGTGCATCGGGATTGTTTCCTGTGGTTGTGAAGAAATAAAACCGTCATTCAGTAGGTAGCATTAGGCTGTGAGATTGGGATGTTCATTTCCGAAGAGATCAAGCTCGGCAGTTTATCAGATCTTAAAATCCTGAATTAGTGATATATATATATATAATAATATATAATACAAATAATATATATATATATATAAACGTGTATAAAATACATTTATATGTAAATGTATATATATAGATACATACATACACACAAACATACATATACATACGCACATATATATATACACACATATAAATATACATATATAAATATATAACCATATATATATACACACACAAACATATATATATATATATATATATATGCGTACAGTTATAGGAATAGGTATATGTATATTTTTATATAAATGTATCTACATATATACATAATACATATAAACATATATG